TTAAAAAAGAATGAAAAACTATATGCTTGTGATGGAAAAGACATGAAAAGATTTAAAAAACATGGAAGCAGAATAAGTACTAACTTAATTAACTGTGCTTATCTTTTCATTGATATTTAAAAAATAAGACCTTGCTGTACTTAATCAAGAAACTTTGAAATTGCTGCAGAAGTACTCACAGCACTAAATTATTTCAAATGATTTAGATTAATTTACATTTAATTTAAGTCATTCATTTCATTTTGATAAAATATTATGAACAAAGAGCTTTGAATAAATCTTTACTGCGATTAGAAGTGTATTTCTCCAGAGTGAGTGACAAGGATCTAATGTTAGGTTTGCATTCCCAACCTAGAAGCATGAATGGGTGCTTACATGGTGGAGGACTGACTAAGGATCATGGGTTCTCAGTCACATAGGCTTAGGTGGCCTAGTGTCCCCACTCAGAGAGACATCCATGGTGTCCAAAAGATTGAGATCGGCCCTGAGTGATGCTACAAAATTCCCTGTGCTATAAAGCCCCATTTGGTAGCAGGAGATGAAGCCATAGAATTTCTTCTAAATCATCTCTGTTCTTGCTTCATGATTTGAATTCTTGTTCTCCATAATGCCAGCCCCAGTACAAGGGTTTGTGTGGAAGGAGTTTATTGCAGTTTCTTCCAGGAAACTTTGGTTGGAAATGAATCAGGGAAAGGAAAAGAAGGCAGTGCAGGTGTGCCATCAAATCAGCTACCACTATGGCCCACTGGAGCTCAATAAATATGGGCAGTTCTGGGAGACAGGCTAGCACAGCCCTTGGAGCTATCCCAAATGAGTCATGAAGACGCTGGATAAATCATTCATACATTTGTTATCATCTATCAAGTTCTATTTTGTGGCAATACTGACATTTCCAGCTTGCCCTGCACACTGCACATTGCACTCCAGGCCAGAAAAATGGTCCTGGTGAAATTGATGTTGGTGAAATTTTCACCAAGTAGTGCTCAGCATGGAGATGTGACTGGTAGGAAAATAAGAATGGGTACAAATGGCATCTGCAGAGTTTATTCCTTGCCCTGCTCAGATATATTTGTGCTTTATGTTCAAGTCACTCAGATCTCCAAGCTTAGAATGAAAGACAAAAGAATGGGTAGTGGGACAAACTAAAGATGTTGCCGTTGATCTCCAGGTGGTGATTTGTATTTATTATCTTTCTCCAATATCTTTCCTCTTTCTTTCTTTCTTTCTTTCTTTCTTTCTTTCTTTCTTTCTTTCTTTCTTTCTTTCTTTCTTTCTTTCTTTTTTCTTGTTCTTTCTTTTTTTTTTTTTTTTGTATTTTTGAGAAGGGTCTATAGGGTGTTCAGGGTCTCCCTACCAGATCAGACTCATAGTGATCCACCTGTTTACAGCCTCCCAAGAGTTGGGATTACAGTCATGAGCCACCACACGCAGTCTACTCTTTCTCGATTCTTCTTACCTTTTGCTAATAATTCTACTAGACTAGATCTTTTTTTTAAGTACCAGGGATTGAACTTAGGACCCTGCACTTGCCAAACAAGTGCTTATTTTACTGAGCTATCTCCCTGGCTAGATTTCTTTCTTGGAAAGGTAACCTAGGACTTTATCCTTGAGGGGTCTAAGCCCCTGGCTACTATTCCCTTATTAGGCATAATTGTTACAATTGCCTGTTTATAATAACCACAGGCATGAAAATTGTCTCTTGAGTTTTAAAGACACCTTCCTGGCTCCTATTATGTAGTTGCAGTCTATATTTCAAGATCATTGGGGTCATTATAGAAACTCAGTAACTCCTTTTTGGGTTTCTGATCTGCTGGTATAAAGATCTCCAAATGACTTGGTAGCACATGTAACTGTGTGTACTAAAACCTTTCTGTTTCCCTAATAGAACAATGTTTCTCCCATTTTCTTCAAAAGGAATTGAGGCCTCTTATCAAGCAAAACTCAGAACTGTGAGAACAAGAATCACAAAAGCACATCATTAAAAGTGGGCCTTGCTGGGGAACTAGTCCTGCTTCCATTCTCAGCTCCAATTCTTTTTTTTTTTGCGGAACCGGGGATTGAACTCAGGCCCTTGTGCTTGCCAGGGAAGCACTTATTCCACTGAGTCATCTCCCTGTCCCCTAATGGCAGAAGTGTTTTTTTTTTTTTTTTGCTCCGAATGCCTTCAAGGCATGACTGGCTGGCTTGTGTTGTGGGGATCAGACCACAGCAACCTGAGCCTGACTGCTTTGTTGAAGCAGCCACTTAAAGAACTGAGCTAAGGGGCAGGCCCCCTCCAATTCTATATATACATTTGGTCTAACAAGAATGCAGAATCATCTTAAAGAACCCCTCTTCTACATCTCAGTGCTATCCTTAAACTGGCACATTACCTGAAACTTTCGGTGGTTATTTCCATGTTCTACCAGGAATGTGGTAGATGTGCTAGAATCAGTATGTCCAATGGTCATGTGCCCACTGTCACACTCCCCTGCTATATAAATCTCCTATTGTTACAAGGAGATGTGAGAGTCTTTGTTGGTCATTAATAGTCAGACAATCTCAGCCCTCGGCTTATGTGTGACACTATGGAATGGAAGGCAAATCTATTTCTGGGATAAACATTAATGAGAAATAATTATGGCACCTCTATAGTGGAAGTGGTGTGATATAATCAACTTCCCAACAAGTGACTGATTCGTTTCCTTAAGGAGTGATTCTGTATTGAAGTCTCAGCTGCATCTACTGCCAATGAGTTGGATATTTTCCAATAGGAGTAGTTAAATCTGATGTGGAAAAAAATCCATCTTTCTGAGATGACAGTCATGCTTCTGTCATCTTGGCTGATCTCTTCAAAGGTCTCTTATTGAAGTAATGACATGGACAGGGACAGAGACTAATTGACAGTTGCTAGATTGACCATCTTGTCCATGTGGCTATTTATGCCTCATCTGTCTGGATGCTCTCTGAGGGATACTGAGATGAGATACAGTGGTCTGAGCAGTTTGTACCTATACTCACCACTCGTTTACTCTCCTCTACACATCACTTCTTGGTTGTAGAGTCATTCCTAATGTGACGCATGCTCCTGCTACCCCACCTGCTCCAGGCTCTAACAAAGGGATGGAGTGCAGATTTCACACTTTGTGTTTATGCCCTTGTCCTCAGACCTGCCTAACTTCCTCTCTAGATAGCTGGTTGAACTTTTATCCTCTTTAAGAAGGAACCAACTCTCCCGTCATCGTATTATGTTTTCTGTTCTCTTTTCATTTTAAAACTTTGTACCATTTCCCCTTGGGTTTTAATATTTGATCTTCTAAGCCAATCATTCTGAAATGTCAGAATATATTTTCTCTCACTACTGAATTTGATGGTCTGGCTTTCAAGATTTTCTATTTTCTGTATCTTTGTAAAAGTCTACAAAGGAGCTCAAAGACAAGAATTTTACTCTGTTCTCTGTTTGTTCTTTAGTGCTGTCTCCTGGTACTAAGCCTCAAGTTCTTGGATTAGTTTTAACAGGAGTAAGGGCTTCATACTGAGAAACAAAACACATTAGATAGTATCTGAAAACACTATTCCTCTACATATGGTCTGAAATATTTGATAGTGTGTTATTTTAAAAGCTCCTCTGTTTCCTTTTTCTTGCACTGAAGTTAGAGTAAGCGTCCCCAGAGCCCATAGGAGGTGTGCCTGGGCAGCTCAGCAAAGTTTGGGTATAGACTGCCTGTGCTCACAGGGCACTGTGCAGAGGTATATAACAGCATCATGGAGCTAAGAGTCTTTGATGTGCAAGGAAAAGTTCTGGTCTCATTTATTAAGACTGCTTGCAAAGCGTCCACTGTACTTCATCCACCATACGAAGCATTTGCATCAGGGAGATGAGACCAGCTTCAGGATCTAAGCCACCGGAAGACATGGAAACTCTGTCCCTGTAGCTACAGCTCAGTGAGATGCCCTCATCTTTCTTGACTTTCATGGAAGAAAGGCTCTGTTTGATCAGCAGTTGTCCATTTGATCTTGCTCAGGAGGAATGGAAAGATTTTTATACATAAGAAAGGGGTTTGATTTTGCTTTTAGAATTTTCCACATTTATTTTATGTTCCTTAGACTAGACCCCAGGTGCTCTTTGATCTCTCTAGGTTTCATGGCCAGGGTTACCACTTCTTTCTTTGACTTATTCCCCCTTTCCTATCCTCACGAGTCACCACTCACAGATGCACACAGGAGCACCCTCAGGAGGCCCCATTCTTTCTTACCCTGGAGGCGCTGAGCATTCACTTCAGAGGCTGGGTGCTGACCATGATCATGGGGCTTAGTTAGCTGTTCTGGTTC